ATTTTTTTTTTTTTTTTTTTTTCCTGAAAATTTGACTTTCTTGGCGGCAACCCTAAATCTGATTAGGTGTTAGCCTTTCTTGCTTTCGGCACGCGTTTTAACCCCGTGGGGGTAACGAAGTGCTGCCGAAATTTTCTGATATTCTCTTACTCAGTCTTTTCGGCACACTTCGACCTCATGGGGGTAACGAAATGCTGCCAAAATTTTTGACAAATTAGATACATCATTCCTCCCCACCTCCTGATCCACTTTTTACTTCTTTCTTTATTTATTTATCTCTTTATCTATTATTTCTTTATTTATTCTCTGAAATTTCTTCTTTTTTTATTTGCGGCATCTTGACACCTAGGGTGCTCACCTTGGTCTCTCCTTTCCTCTTGGCACATTCTTGACCCCGTGGGGGGTAGGGAAATGCTGCCGAAAATTTCAAAAAAATAAATATCGTTTTCCCTTCACACCCTTTTACTTATCTCTTTAATTATTTTTATTATTTATTTATTTCCTTATTTATTTTTTATTTTCTCTCGAAATCTCGCTGTTTATTTATTTATTTTTTTTCCCGCCTTCCCCCCCCTATGCTTGCTATTTTACTTTCTTGATTAGGTCATCGGTACCCTACCCTAACCACTTAAACTTCGGTTAGGGTTTTCTTAGGGTTTTTCTAGGGTTTAGGGTTCTTCAAAACCCCCCTACTTCCCCTTCCTCTTCGGGCACCCTGGACCCGAACCACCCCTCCCCCTTTGACGGCGCCCGCGCTAGCCTTGCTAGCGCCGTCCGCCGCTTTCTACCGCGGACCGCCCCCCCTACGCCCTCCGCTCACGCGGACCGCGCCTGGCCCCCTCCAGTCCGACCCGTCACCTTCCCATGGCCGACGGTGTGTCACATGCCGCCGACGCGGCGACGACCACGGCACAGGGCTCCACACCGGTGTCGACGGACGAGGGCCACCAGCCCCAGGGGGATCTACACATTCTCCTCACCTCCCTCCTCGCGCCCTTACAGGCGCAGGTGGCGACCCTTGCTGCCGGCGTGCGGCAACTCCAGGACGCTGGTCGTCCTTCCTCTCCTCACCCTATCTCTTCTCCTGGCTCCCAGTCCGGGTCCCCCGTCCTCCAACAGGGTGGCCACGGTGGAGCTTCCTCCTCCGCCGCCCCCGACCCGGCCATCTTGGTGACCGTCCACGCCCCTAGCACGACGACTGCCACGAGCCAGGCCCTCCCTCAGTCCACGGGCGCACCCGCCCAGATTCCGGTCACGACGGCCACGGGACCACAACTCGCTACCATGGTCTCAACTTTTTCGGGTGCCCCACTTCTCCCTCCTCTTCGCACGACCGCAGCGCCATCTGGCTCTCCCCCTTGTGGGATGCCTCGCGTCGCTCGTGCGTCTCCCCCTGCCACACCTCGCTCGACCTATGTTCGAGGCCTCGAGGACGAGATCGCCCGGCTGCGGACCAACCTCGCCCTCTCACGCCTTCAGCCACCCCCACCCTCACAGGTGGCCACGCCTTTCGGCGCGCCCTCTTCTTCCTCTATTCTTCCTTCCATGCAGGCTCGCTTCCCCCGCCCTGCACCCTACCCATTCCCATCCTACCTCCTCCCCATCCCCTCGGTTGCTGCGACCTCTTCTACCACAGCTCCCGTGCAGCCTGCCATTGTTTCCCCCGCCGCTCCACCATGTGGCCCGGGCGTACAGTCAGCTGCGCCTCCTCCTCCAGGACCTGCACCGTCGTAGCGCAGTCCCCTGCTCCCCGTTCCCCTTGCCGCCAAAACGGTGGCGCACCACTCATCCGCTTGTCGGACATTCCCTTGTATGACGGTACAGGCATACGCGTGTCTAGGTGGCTGTTGTCTGCCACCTGCACGCTCCAGCTCATGGGCGCCACACCCGACACGTGGGTGGGTCACCTCTCCACGCGCCTGCGTGGTGCTCCTTTCGACGCCTGGGAGAATTTTTATGCTTACTCCCTGCGTGAGGGTCGGACTCCGACCTTCATGGATTTCCAGGCGTTCCTCGAGGATCGCTTTGGAACCCGATATGACGTGACTGAAGCCTTCGAGCGTGTCGTCACTACACGCTGGTCCGGCTCTGGTGGCGCTGCCGGCCTGGATCGCCACATCCAGGTCTTTCAGGACGCCCACCTCGTTTGTGACGTGGCGTTCCTTTCCGAGGCTGCCCTTATCGATCATTTTTTGGCCAGCCTCCCGCTCGAGTACCGCTCCGAGCTAAGGCGGTACGAGTTCACATCGGCCCCGCAGGCTTACGAGGCCGCCAGGAATCGTGAGCGGATGCGAGCCCGTCTTCACCCCGCCTCCTCCTCCCAGCCTCAGCGCACGGGTTACGCCTCCTCCTCCTCTCACGGCACTTCCCAGCGCCGTTCCCCTTTCCGCGGTCGCCCCTGCCGTTTCGCGCAGCAGGGCCGCCCACTTCTCGCGGCGCTTCAGCGCGCTCGAGTATGGTGAGCAAGACGCTGGTGCCCCGCTGTCGCCAGAGGGTGATCATAGCGATGACCTCGACCTTGGCGATGCCGTCCAGCACCACTTGGAGGACCTTACTGTCCCTATGGCTAAGCGCCTCCAGCTTATCCTCTCCACCCTTTCTCGGGCACGCAGCTGCCCTGGTCACGCTGGCGCGTCGCCCCCCGAGGTCCCTCAGCAGGACCTCCCTCAGGGCTTTGTTCCTCCTCGCGGTGTCCTTTCCGCTGAGGAGCGCGCGACTATTATGGGCCGACGTGGGTGTTTGCGATGCCATCAGGACGGTCATACCTCCTCGCGGTGCCCTTACACTACTGCCCTTGACCGCCACTACGCTGACCTTTCCCGCCAGCGTCGTGCTCAGTCCCCCCCCGGCGCCTCGCATCCCCGCGGCGCCTCCTAGCCACGGTGCAGTGTACACCTGCGCCCCCCTCAGTAGTGGGCTTCCCGACATCTCCGTCGCGGTTTGCCCCTCTCGCTACTGGAGTTGAGGTATCGCAAGACTCGACAGAGTGTACTCAGCCCTCTGTCGCAGTACCGTCTGCGCCTCTGCAGACCACCGTCTCCCCTCCTTCCCAACCGCGATTACCGACGCGTCGAGCCATTGGCTCAGCCCGTTGCAGCGAGCAGCTTGCGACTCGCGAGGATGTTGTGTCCTCTCTTCTGGACTTGAGCATGCTCTAGGCTCGTCAGGAGCGACTCACCCTACATGTCGCTGCCATGCATCGCCTTCTCACCATCCTCTCTAACCCTTATCGCACCCTCCCGATCATCCCAGTACGATTGGGGACCTCCACGAGGGTGTACTCAACGCTGTGGGATTCCGGTTCTCAGGGCGACTTCATTCACCCACGTGTGGTGAAAGAAGCCCGCTTACCCACGACAGGGTCTC